ATGCTTGGAAACACACCTTCACCAACAGCTGCTTCTCCCCTATTACTAGAAGATATGGACCCGAGTGCATTCTTTGCCGCCAATGCCTCTTCATTCCATCCTCAAGAAAGCAATACCAATACAGACATATTTGCTTCCACGACAGACGGTGGATTCACTCAGCCGCAAGACTTCTTGACACCGCAGCAGTATCTCTTCTCACAGCAAAATGCGAACCAGTTCCAACCTCAGGGCTTGAATGGTATGCTGAAGCGGAGGACGGCCTCCCCTCAAGGGCAGGATACTGATGCTGCTGCAGACATGGCTCTCATGCAAAACTTCACAGCCGACATGTTCTCGATAGACACGAACGAACAGGTCCAGGTACCCCAAGTCAACTTTAACGTACAGCAGCCACTACAGTCAGATCCTAATGTTCCGCCATGGAACCCTACGAACACAAGGGGTAATGATGCCATCTTCATCATGGATGACTTCAACAACTCCCCATCGCCCGTGAGCAATTACTCTCCGAGCTCGATGAACAGTTCCAAAGCAAGCCCCGGCGGCAGCAAGTCTCCGGTATCGATACCGATTCGAAAGGTAAAGGTCGGTAAGGTCGAGAAGAAGAAGAAGGCAGAACAATCTGGCAAGTTTGTCATTGTGACTCCTAACTCCATCTCAGCCCACGCTGGTCGCGAAAACCCGTTCGAGTGCTTCGAAGCTATGAACCGGACAAGTCAGCGAGGACGTAAAGGACCTTTGGCAAATGCCACAAAGGAGAATGCCCTGCAAGTCAGGAGACAGGGTGCTTGTTTCTGCTGCCACAGTCGCAAGGTCAAATGCGACCTGGAACGTCCGTGCAAGAGCTGCAAGAAACTAATGGTTCAAGTTCCTCAGGTGGTCTGTTGGCAGTTCAGTGACTTCGTAACCATTCTATTTCCCGTATACATTCGCGGTCATCTGGAAAGCAAAGAGATGGCCAAGTTCACCAGAGAGAACATTGCGGGTTTCCATATTCAGGGGGTAGAGCAGGTATGCTCTGTTGAACTATTCTCGGGACCCCGATTCAGCACAGTGTTGGCCCTACAAGCCAAGTTGTTCACCCCTGCCAACGCCGATGTGCAGAATCACTGGCAGCTGCACAACTTGGGGCAGAATAAGGTTGAGCTGAGGGCCAACAAGGCAGCCAACCTTGGTGTCGACCTCGAGAAGTCCGCCGAGAGGGACAACCTCAGGAAACGGACCAAGAGATACATCCAGGACCTCCTGAATGAGCCAGAATTCGTCGCCCAGGTCACAGATAGCATCACAAGCACATACCTGCCAGCGAAACTGCTGCGGATCGTCAAGGAGTATGCTGACGAGACCGAGGTGAGTGAAACCTTGCGAGACGTATCATTAACCGAGCTGACAGTCATACTATAGTCCCTCATGGTCAAGCGTGCTTTGTCGATCTACTGTATGCATTACATCATGACAAGACAGCTGTGCCTGACTCAACAGACGACCGACTCCCTTCGATCCGTCGGTATGATCGAGCAGGGCCCCAACTATGTCACCCCACGAGTCCTCGCACGACAGATCAAGTCCATCGTAGACGAGCTGATGCATCGCGAGGTACAATCACTCTTCGAGCTCTTCAACCGATCGCTCAAGCCGAAGTCCCGACGCGAGTGGGCACCCTGCACCGCCGCCTTTCTCGTCCTCTGCCTCTTCATGGAGGCTGTAGAGACGGCAGCTGACACGTTTGTGCTCGCCCAGAACGAAATCAACATGAGGAACAGCGCCAGACCGGAGTACGAAAGAAGCCTTGCGCTGAATACCTGTGCCGAGGTCGAGAACATGCCTTTCAAGCAGTTCGCTTATCAGTTCCACCAAGTCTATCAGACGCACAGCAAGGAGGCCAACTCGAAAGGTTTCAACCCTGTGCTTGACAGCAGCTTTGCCGAAAAGGGCGAGCTGGACGGACCGGCTGTCAGGTTCTCGGCTCAACTGCGAGAACTATTGTTCGGCGACAGCTGTAAGTGCGACCTCAGACCCTGCTGACGGACTGACAAGTATGTTCTGGAAAGAGTCACAAGAGCTAATATTGTCTGTTACATTCAGGGCAAGAGTTGCAGTTTCTAGCAGCCACCGACATGATACCCAACACGTCGACTCATCCTTTCCCTATGGATCCGCAGACATTGTATACAGGGCGCCTCGTGGCCAGGTTTCTCATATCGTTCCAGGACGAGAGAAGCATTTTCGAGGACCTTGTCTGAGCGAAGGCTATTTGTCCGAGACATGTGCTAACGGAACGGCGAAATTATGGCGATTAACGTTGTCTTCAAAGACATGGCGCATGCGAGGCTTTGCTTGGTATAACGGTTTATGGGACACGAACACCTTGTACGGGGTATTGGATTTCTTGAATGATATGACCGAGGGGACACGCAGACGGCACACGAGGCTGAAAGAGCCATATTGTGTGCAGGTTTAGAGTAACAACAGTGTCTCAGAGTGAGCTTTAGAGAGCATGTTTTCGTTCGAAGCTTATGGTAGTATCAATAGGCTGAGTATGCCATGGCATGACATTACATGACATGAGCCAACAATGTTTCTCATGACGGGCAAGACATTGCGTGTGACGCGATACTTGGTGCAGCGTCCGACGCCCTGCCTCGAGTCACCCGTCACTCAAAACATGTGAAAATACAAGACATTTATTCACGCTGGATATGTTTGCCCGATTTTAGTCCTGATGCCACACTGCTTCTATGGTATCAGGGTGGAGCGGACCGGTTGTCTAGACCGTGGTTTTAATCTCCCACTCGAACGATAAAAATAAAGTTGACACACATGCGCATTGGAAGCGCGAGGTGTAGGCAATTCGTGGGTGCCGCTGAGCGGACTTTGAAGAACAATCAAAGAAAATGCTGTAGAAATAGGTAAGTCGTAAAGCAAAGCATGAGCAATAGCAACGGTGAGACATCGTCACACCAAACCAGCCTCGAAAAACAAACTGTCAAACGCAAGGCCCTGTTAAGCTCTTTTGCTCAGAACAGTGTCTCGTCATTCGGGCGTTCAACAACTTTCGAGGAGGACTGCATCCTGCATTGCATGAATGGATGGATGTCAAGTCCGAAACCAAGACTTGGTGAGAGCTGAACACAAAACGGGCGCTTCATCGGCGTTGACCGTGAGCGAGTGAGAGCAAGAGAAATTGCAGCCGAGGATGTCACATCGGAGATGGCAAATGGCGCCTCTGAACCTCGGAGAGGCGAAGCTGAGGCCAAACAAAGAAAGAAAAAAGGCGTTATTGTAGAAGTTTGGGTTGATTTTTAACGCGAGAAGAAGAGTTTTTAAAGAGGTAGGTCGTGGTAGGGGGACACAGATCCACACTGCACGTGACACGAGACAGGCCTGAGGTTGTGCTGGAGCTAAGCTACGATACCTTGTCGCAGCCTGTGAAATTCTCTTTTCTCCTCCTTACACTTTTTACGCACGATAAAATCAACCGGCCTCGATGTCTTTTACACTCGGAGTCGGTCATATTCAGTGCAAGAGGGACAGGGCCATCTTCTGCTGTCATACTGCGTCGAGAGACACGTTTCAATTGTCTCCCCGACCCGGCAGAAGCTCCGATACGTCAATTGCTTGCTAATCTATCTACCAACTGAAACTGAACTCTTGCCGCCACACAGCAAATGCATAATCTCGAGCGAGACTGGTATAGGACCTTCGTGTATTTTGTGTCCAAGATCCTGCGCCTTAAAGGGACCAACACCAGGCACTTATTGATCCCGCATCACCACATTTTTGTGTCTCCGGCGCCTCTCTACTTTTAGCATATGTTACATGATGCTGTGTCTCTAAACTCTACCTACCCACCTAAGGTTATCTTAAACCGGCATGGTACATTTGAGGAGTACATACCTCAAACCAGCTCTCCGACTGGCCACAAGATACGCATTACTTGCGAGCCTGGACGTAAATCAACTGGGACCATCAGTAGCTATCCGTCGCTGTGTCCAAACGGTTGTAAGCGTGGTAAATGCGTTGGATCCAGCCCCATGGGACCAATCATTTTTAACGAAGTACTCAATCCTGTCTTAACAGACCCAATGCAACCTCCACGTTACCCTTGCACCCACCTCTTCTCAAAGCAAAGGAAAGGTTATGGCCAAACCCCTGTACACAGAACCCATCTCTTTGTGCGGCGAGCGTTACATGGTTTGCGCAACGTCAGTCCATTGACGAAGCAAGATAGCCCGACAGATGGTTGGACAGAGTCCAAATATGCCTGCGGAATGACATTAGTCTGAGGACATCGCCAAGCTTAGGGTTGAGATCAAGCTGTTCCAGTGAGGGTCAGCTCGGCGATGCCTTGATGGTGGCTCTTGAACACGAGATTCTGTCAACTTGAACAGAGTACGAGTCTATAACTGGACATCGAAACTGTTTCACTGCTCTCGAACTGGCCTCGCTGTCCTACAGTTTGCATCAATACATACACAGGACCCATATTCGGATATCTTTGACTCCTGAACCTTGTCTTGTCCAACAACTGCTGTTTCCACAATAGGCAACGGAACGTCGACTTACGGTACGGCCTTCTCTTGTCTTCTTGCCTTAGAGGTTAAGCAAGCGGTAACTTGCATGCGGCGAGTGTAGACGAAGTGGAAAGCTGACGGCAACATGGCGCAGAGAAACGACCTTGAGCGACAATGAATTGCCTCATTTCGGGGGTTGTACAGCTTGTAGTGCCCCGAGGTCCTCTTTGATACTTCGCCAGGATAGTCTTATTCTTGAACTTCTTCTGAGAAGCTAATGATGGAAGCAATGTGTTTGTCCAACACAAGTCAAGTATAAGAGGCTGCACTTACCCCGTGGATTGCTTCTCTTCTTCCCAGCCCATCAAGACAATTCACACACAAGTGTAAACAAGCTTACCTTCTGCATCCAATCTCACAAGTTCTCTTTGACCCAAAGCCAAAGCCCCTTCAGTTTGCCCAACAAACAACATCAAAGCAGCCATGGCCTTCTCTACCGAAAACGTTGTTTGCGCCAACTTTGGGAGAACACCTCCGCCGCCTCCTCCTCCTCCTGCCAACCCATGGCCCAGGGACCCCGGTGAGTTGAAGACTTCTTCCTGTGTTCTCTTGCGTGTCTCGCGGTGTCCTGGAAAATGGATCACATATTACGTGGTTGAACACCTTCCGCCGTGTCATGGTATCGCTGCTGCGAGCACTTGTTCATGCTGCAGAATCAGTGTTTCTCCGATTGGGCATATGGCTAACACAAACCCACAGGTCATGGAAAGTAATTTACTCTCCATTCGCCATGCATTGAGTACTATACTACAATGCATAGCGTAGAGGAGGAACCGCGATGGCCTGATATGGAGTATACGAAGGGAAGGAGTGACGGCCAGATTGGTGAGGAGAGATCGAAGACTGGGGCGGTGGTCAAACCTTCATTTCTGTACCTTGCTTTATTTGCTTTCATAGATGATCAATTGCACGGTACCGTTGCCTTCAGCCATTTTTCTTGTGCACATTGTGCGTAATAGCAAACCGCGCTGTGTGCTCTGACAGGGCTTGTGCAGGCCAACATCACACTATGGTGTATCCCAACAGTATGACTCGAGACGCGAGATGCGAAAAGAGAGAACAGTGGAATGTGCTGCGACGAATTGACCTCTGAATGCCGCCGTTGTGGCGGAGGATTGAAGTAAAGAGTTCGAAATTGAGGACGTTGATCGTACGAGCGCGGTAACACTGGTATAAAGGCATATCGGATGATTTTGAAAGAATCAGTTCATAAGCTGTACAAGACAGAGGCTTGGTTACTAGAGTCTGCTGTCAATGCTTATGCACAAGTTCTGTAACCGACCGTGAAGCAGGATATGAGACATACCGATTGCTTATCGTTCCCTATAATGACGCTCAGAAGAACGGTGTGTCGATGACTGCAGGCCATTGAGCTACAAGGGAGTTTGTTTTGTTGGAGTTGATTTGGAGAAGTAAAAACTGCGTATGTTGTGTATGGGTTTGGTACGCTCGGAGGTCGTGACTTCCCGGACTGATATTCCTGAGGACCCAATGAAGGTGCGACTACAAGTGCGACCTGCCGACTCTAGGTACTGAGGCCTTGTATGAGGGGGTTTTCAAGAATGGGACTCAATGCTCGACTTAGATCGCAACTATGAATATGCCTACGGGAGATTAGCATGTTAGATGGACATCAAACCTCCACGATTCTCCTGCTCCTATTATTTACCGTCCTATGCACTGCACCCATTGTACACTACATCCGAATTCCTGTGCATCAATAAAACGATCGAAAGCAAAGATAACCTCCTCTTCGCTTAACCCTACCTTCGACGAGCCGTCAGTTCCGCCCGGATCCGTACGGCCTGGAACCGGATCGTCTGCAGTGTAGCCAACATTGCGCGACTCAACTAGAAAGAAGGATGCCCGACGTTAAGCGATCTGTCGACTCGGATAGGTTGGAAATCATACTCATCACCATCGTGGTCTTCGTACTCGTCTTGCTCCTCGCTGTCTTCATCGTAATTGGCGCCAGCTACAGAACACCTCGAGGGACCCGAGATGCTAAGAACGGACAGCGTGAGACGCACTGGAATACGTTGCACCAGCCAGATCAAGGAGATGGAACATATCATGACCATGAGGCTTCGTTCATCAAGAGTGTCCGAAGGCGAAGCCAGTCTCTGGCTGAAGAGCTCCGCTTGGAGCTGATAAACCTAAAACGCAACTTATCTTTACTTACAATCCCCTCGAGGGGCCGGCTGGAAAACACAAACACAAGCGGAGCGCGAAGATTTAGCATTGACCAGTTACTGAGTTTCTCCACGAATAGCTCTGAATTAGTTATAGACTGTGAGAGCTGCTATGAGTACCTGGAATCCCCGCTGTCCGTAACAGGAAGGGACGAGGACACTATGGGGACACAGAGAAGGCAGATTCGACCAACGATGAACGCAGCGACATATGAGGAGGCGCAACAGTAGGACAGCCCCTTGCTGTAGACTATAGGGACAACGGGGTTGATGACTGGTGAAAGGTCAGGAGTGGCAGGTTGTTGTACATGATACCTCTATTGAATCTGAAAAACCCATCCTACTCTGACATTGGCCCTTCGTGAAGCCCGCGGCAAAGTTCCCTGTGTCATCCCTTAACACATCGCCATTTTCTGGTGTGTTCGTTGCTGGTACAAATAAACGACTCGTTTCTCTTCATTGGCGCCCACCACTGTAATACCTTATGCGGACTGCTTCTTGAGTTCCCGCGCAGCCTGTTTCAGGCTGAAGTTGCACTCCTCATAGGCACGGCCAGCACCGAAGCCGACACCAACGAATGCGGGCCATGCTCTTCGCTTGAACAGAAGGACGGAGAAGACGACACCGAAACCGAGACCGAGGGAGGACTTGACAAGGAGGTTGGAGAGGCAGCGATCCCACTAGGGTTAAGTCAGTACAGAGATTCTATACAGAAAGTGTTTGAAGTATTCGGGTCTCGTGATTACCTTCTCATTGAGAAGAGACTCGCTGAGCGGCCGGGAAATGGCGCTGGGAGGAGGACGGGCTACAGTGGAATCGGCCATTTTGAACTGTTAAGTATCGCGTTAGTTTCAATGGTTAAAGATTAATAGAGCAAAAGGAATTGGCATACTTAGGTCGTGCAATCTGTCGTGACGAGCGAAATTAAGAGCTGCAACGAGCTTTATCTATTGACGTGATGTCAAGCTTGAATATGGAACAAGCCGGGTGACAACAGCCGGGCTGTAGGCGGTGAGGATGGTGGACCGGTAATGGTTTAGCGTTATGGCAGAACTTTGGAAATTTTGGGTGGAACTCAGGAAAAGTCGCGGGGCGCATTCAAAGATCGAGGTTTGTATAGCTTCTTTTCTCTACCATTTCTTTAATCATTCCTTTATAAAACTGTCGTTATGGACGTGGAAATGGCGGAAGACTATCCACAACAAAATTCTTCAACTCTTGTATGTATCTGTCTTGCTGCGACTTCTCAATTGTGAATGCTTACACGTGCTACAGCAAAAGACGGACCTGATTAAGACTGTGAGAGGTCTTGACCAAAACGGTCTGGGCGAAGATGGAAAGAATCTAGAAAAACTATGGAATGGCTTGACGGTATCAGCAGATAGCCAATTCCATGCTGCAGAGGAGAGCAGCTTGCGATGGCTGCTAAAGTCGATGAATGGCGCATCAAAAGATGCTGAGACTTTGCGACGCTGGCCCTTGACCTGGACTATCCTTGAATGCGTCTTTCAGCGCATTCCTTTATTCTCCCTCGCAAAGTCTCTTGCCGATAGACGATTCATTGCAGTGCTGCAGCAAACTCTGAAAGATATCTCACAACCAGCTACGAACTCATCATCCAGTTCCTCCAAGAGAAAGCGGTCGCCAACGAAGAGCTTCGACCTGGAAGCTCTGCGAGATACCGAAGGGTGTCTTATGAGTGGAGATGCTTTACTCAGTGCCCTGAAGACATTACTGGACCGCCTTCGTTCATCTGCCACGCAATCCTCCCACGACAAGATCGGCGCAGAGCATATCCGATCTCTCTTCTGTAACTCAGCAGCTGATGCAGCGACCTTGACATCATTGTTCCTAACGCTGTGCAATGTTGCGCTTACTGGCGGTGAAGAGCAAGAAGGGAGGGAATCCTGGATTGAGACGATATCATCCATTTGGGATTTTCACTTGCAAGGAACCGATGATACACTGGAGGTCGCAGCGCAGCTATTCACACCGTCCGCTGCCATCTTCAGCAAACTTGAGGGTATCGATGGATCACACGACAGGGTTACACGAGAGCCCTTACGGGCGAAATGGACGATCGATTTGGAAAATCTCATGCATCGCAATTTGATATTCCCCGCCCGAGCCGCCTTCATTAACCGACAAGATATGGAACCTGTCGCCAGAGCACTTCATGCAGCCGAGAAAAATCTTGAAACAGCAGCTCCTGCTCTGTACTTCCTAGCTTCAAGTGTGACAGATGCACTCGGTGAAGGAAGGTTACGGAAGGGAAACATCGACTGGATGAAGCAGATCTTCAAAGTTGTGGAAGCCTCGCTAAAAGGACAAGAGAACCGAGATAAGCTTGTGCAGGCTGTTCTGGAGCGAGCAGCTGAGAAGTCAATGACAATCGACACAAGTGATCTGCGTTCTGTTTGCCGAGAGTATGCCCTACAGGAGGATAGCACAAACTGGCATTTAACGGCGGTCATTGCTGATTGTGATTTTGATGTGTTCAAGCTCCCTGAAGGCGAGAGCCTGCTAGAGACCGTATGCGAGCGAAGCATCTCCCCAGAGCTTAAACCACAGGATCTAGAATCAGTGTCCAAGATTATTCAAGCCATCGCCCAAGTATACCGAACTGGACGAGATTTTGCTGGGTTCTTGAAACTATGGTTTCAGCAGCTTTGTAAGGTTGAGAAGCAGAAGACTAAGATTACATCGCCATGGCTCCAGGTTGGTCAGAGGCAGCATGGAAATACTTCATTCGAGAGCTTGATTGAAAAGGAGATGTCACCACAGCAGCTTCTAGAGATTTTGGAGTGGGTCAAGGAAGAGAAACTACACTCCAGGGCACTCTGCCTCTTCTTGGACTTCATTGCTCAGGGCATTCGAAGCGAGACATACGTGGATGCTGTTGGAAGTAAGCTATTTGATTTGGTAAGCCAAGTGAAAAAGACGTCGTCTACCTTGACAGCACTGAAGTGGGGAGTTGTGTCAAAGACCATTTCATGGGTGACCCCTGAGTCACGGGCTGAAATTTGGGCCTCTGTCCAAGGACAACTGACCAAGATTCTGTCTGAGTCACCTCTTGAGTCTAAGGAAACGTATGAGGCCTTCAAATGCTGTTGTCAAGCTTGGGTTTCCATGAGCCCTGATGACGCACATATCAGCGAGCCCGCAAGCCTGGTAGATGCTTTCACTGCCCGACTGTCAAAGGATCTGCTCTCATCAAAGTCCTTGAAGGGGAGAGACCTTTCATCATTCTTACAGCATGACCCTAAGCCAGCTTTCCTCGAAGAAGCTGCCCCAGAGCATTATTTGGCCTGGTTTTTGCAGGGTTCTGGTCGTTTAAGTCGATTCGTTTATGGTACCAAAGCTACCCTCCCGCAAGCATTGCAGAATGCGTTATCTTTACCCAGCAGTGAGGTTACTCAGTTGAGGGATATTTGGGCGTGCCTCCTTGAGAACGAAAACAACATGAACACAGTCAAAGTCGCTGGCGACCTTATCGACCGATTGATCAAGTCGTTGGAAGAGGATGGAAAGGAGAAGCGATGGCCTGCAGAGAGCAGCCAGACCTGGATACGGAGCTTGAGCAGTACCCATACAGATGCCTTTACTCGACCTCAGAGAGAACGTATTATGGAATTGCTCAATGCCCACAGAGCAAAGACGACAAAAAGGGTATCGATCGAGGGGTGGAGATACATCCTCGGACTGTCCACCAAGTTGATGGGCCGAGCGACTTTCTACAAAGGGATGGAATTCTCCCATCTCGTTGATGTTGCGGATGCCATGTCAGACATCTCTAGCTCATCACCTACCCAAGACGGCACTTTGATCGATCTGATCGAAGCATATTATATGATGGCAGCGGCCACTATTCGACAGATGGCGGAGCAATTGGACGAGCGAAGTAACAAGTACTTTGAGGAGAGCCGCAGTTTCATTTCTGACTGTGAAGAAGCTGGGGATTTGTCGCCTTTCCGCATGACCCTTTTGAAAGCGTTAATCACAGAGATTGAGAAGTCGCCAAACTTCGCTAGCCATCCTGAGCTAAACAAAGTGTCTGATACAGCAAAGGATGCGTTAGGGAAATGTGTAATTGCAGCGACTGGCTACTTTTTGAAAACGAAGAAGGCATTTGAGACTCACAATGTCATTGCCGACCTCAGGCTTCTTGCTGCAGTCGATGCCGCAGACTCGCTTACGAGTCTTTCAGGGGCTTCCAAACTAAAGGAATCGGACATCAGAAAGGCGGAAAAGAGCAGCCATGCAGCCATGGCGGCAGGAGATCTCCGGGGATGGCAAATACAAACGTTCCTCAGGACGTACTTCTCTACGCATTTGGAAGAACCCCGACCAACAACGTTTTACAGCATCAGCCAGGTACCACAGGAACTTCGTGAGCCTTTCTTTCAGAGCAATGTTGCTTCGGTCACAAAGGAGATGGACACCTCCGCTAAGATGGCGTACTTGAGGGACCTCGTTCATGTGCTTGTGCAAGGTTCGGACTCGGAAGGTCAAGTATCGGCTATCTATACCGTTGTGAACCAACTCCTAGGTAAGACAACTGAAGCCATTGAAGTTGTGTCAACTAACACAGAGTAGCATGCCCTGATCTACAAGGGAAAAGCTCCGGCTTTGACCTAGCGGCTGCTCACAGTGAGCTGACCTCAACCCTGTTGACGCTCAAGAGCCAGTCCGTTTGTAGCCGAGTGTGTCGTATTCTCTGCACACTCTTGGAGAAGAAGCCCCAGTCGATGACCCAATGGAACATCGAGTTGGTGCTCAACACCATCTCTGACTTGAGCCTGTCAACGAAGCCGCTTGGCGAACAAGTGTCCAATGAAAGAGTGCCCTTTGCACTGTTGTGCAATTTGATGGAAGTTATCATCAAGAAACACCGTCTCCGGCTTGAAGGTCACCACCACCTTCTCTTGTCAGCAATGCAGGCTCTTCTCCGTAACCTCATCATCAACCACAGTACTACCGATACCTTACGCCAAAGCTCGCACGAGACAAAGGCTCATCGCTTTGCCCGTCTTGTTACTCTTATCTGCGAGCCAACAGCCGGTGCTGTATCTCGATCTCAGCACCAGAGTTCTCTTGACTCAGCTACAGATGCGGCGAAGCGTTCAGCTGGACGACACATGTACCTGGTCATGATGCAGTACGTCAAGTTACAGCTTGAAGCTGATGTGCCCCGCCGAGTGAGAGAAGCTCTCGAGCCAGCCATGAACTCCATCTTCGACATCACACCCCCTGAGGTGAGGAAGATTCTGAACGACGCCATGGATGGAAGTGGGCGTGCTATTGTAAGAGAAATGTTCAAGTCATATACCAAGTTTGGTAAATGGAGCGGCGTATAAACGGGGACTATAGATATTGATAGATACCACCACATACATAGATATCAGAAAAGCATAGCAGGTTTGGTCATTATTATTATTAGTAAATGGGTATCTCTAATCATTACTTGGATTTTTAGGAACCCGACAGTGCATTATTAAGCGCTTGGGGATTTCTTGTTGTACAAGCTTGGGTGGCCGTACTTCTTTGCGTGGCTCTTGATCTGGTGGTCAAGAATAGGACGAACAAAGACCCACACAATTGTAGCAAGCAGAGCTCCAAGAACATCAATGAAGCTGTTCTTGGGAGTGCCACCAAAAGATGCCCACTTCATGAGTGAACCAAGGAAGTTGACAGTAATATGGTGCTGTCCAGCTTCCAGACCCTTGATAGCTACCGCAGCAACTTCATCTGGGGTTTGCTTGGGGTCGTCCTTCTCAATGATCTTGGTGATCTCGGGCTTATGCTCGTTCTCGCGGACATTACC